AGCCGTTGGAGGATGAAGAAGCATACGAGGCCATTGAATTGAGCTCATTAGTGGTCTTATCATACACACCAACAACGGATCCTTACTTCCTTTCGACACCACCATCACCAAATTATGTCCTCTACATGATCGAGCCTAAAGAAAAGTTCTCCTTCCAAGCTCATCATCAATCAAAGTGAAGCCGTGTTGGAACAATGAGCCGAATACTTCCAAATCATGCCAAGCTTGAGGGCATCTATAATCTAGACCTGTATCGTGTTGTATGGCACTTATTATGGGTGAAAGCCGCTCTTTGATGAGCACTTCTCCAAACGTCCGGCTGAAGACATTAAAGTTAATAAACAAGTTTGGGGGTTGCTCTAAGGATTTGCAATTGAAATGAAGCTGAAGCGGGCATGAAAGTACGGATTTGGCATCAGTAGTAGCGTTTTGGCGCTCATTTGAGCGCTTTGGCGCTCAAAATAGAGCCTTTTTGGGCAAAAGTGGCAGAGCACATAGTGCTTTGGCGCTACCATTAATCACCTTGGCGCTACCATTGAGCACCTTGGTGCTGCCTCCAAAAAAAAAAAAAAAAAACCCATGCAACTTCCGCATCTCCTCTTGCACCCAATGAAGTTACTGATTGACAACTACTCAGGGAAGTCCTCTACACTCTCTTGCTTTACTTTTCCATCGAGGACAACGTTAGTTTTAAGTTTGGGGGAGTTAACTATCTTATTTTATGTTATTTTATTCAGTTTATTAAAAAAAAAACTTAAGCTTTGGCTCGGCTTGTTTCGTCCCCGACTGATGATGAGACAATGATTGAACTTAACTATGGCTTCTAGGAGACAATGAATAATTTGATTAGTTGTGTGCTTGACTTGTTTGTTGGTTTTGCTCTACTTATGATTTCCTTGCATTGTTGAGCACATAACTAAGAGCACTTGGCCAAGTTGTGAACTTAGAGAAAGTTTATGTGAATTTCATGTTTCTTAAGATCTCACCGGACTCTAGAACATGTTTGATTATCACTCGAGGTGAAATCCCAAGCAATTTATTACTAAGGAAATGATTTAGGCCATTTTTGGATCGTTTGAGCCATTTGATCTTACCCTGTTATAATAATATCCCTAGTCACCTCTTTGAGCCTGATTAAACTTTTCTTTGTCATCCACATTATTAGCTTAGCCTTTAAATAAATCCTATCATTCAGCATTTCCCTTAAGCTTGTTGATTATTCTAGGATGCACGTTGAGTTGTGTTTAGAATTGGGAGGTGTATTGATATTTTCTATAATTTGTTTGATGTCTCCAATGAAATTCTATATTTATCGTATTATTCCAAAAAAAAAAAAAATGAAAAAAAGAAAAAAAAGAAAAAAAAATGAAGAAAAAAGAGAGAGAAAGAAATAAAGAGTGGAGACAAGAATGTTGATGGCAAATGGCAGACATATTGGGATACTGAGTTAGAAGTTCTACAAGAGGATCCTAGAGTAATTGATGAGTTTAGGGAATTCAGAGCCTCATTGATATCCATTTATCCTACCTTAATCCCTAGCCATTCAATTCAAGCTTAATAAAGTCCTATTGATCCTTGGTGGTTTGTTGACCGACATTAGTGGAGAGTGATAAGAAAAGCAAGCCTATGGAGTTCGAAAAATCATAGATCTACCTTGATTCACTTAATTGCATAAACTCATCTAAGTTGCATTTGGATATGTGTAATTGATAATTCACACACACACACATAAGGAGTCTTAGGTGGGGTTGAGATTAGCATTCGAGTTGAAATTCTAAACTTTCAAACAGTTTAAAGTCTTTCTTGAGCTGTAACTTATGTGAGATCTCTGAGGCATTTTTTGTGAAACAACGCCGGATCAATACTCAAGCAAGGTTTCATTTATTTATGTTTCATATTATTTGTGTTTTCATTTCTATTTAGTTTTCTTTCTTTCATTTTTGTTTTGCTCGAGGACTAGCAAAATATTAAGTTTGGGGGTATTTGATGAGTGAGTTTGACTAGCTCATTTAGTATCATTTTACACTTAACAACTAGTTGGTTTCTGAGGTTTTTGTTAGTTTTTATGTGTGTTTTCGTTCTTTGTTTGAAGGATAGGTGAAAGTGTATGATTTGGAAGGTTTTGGACAAATTTCGGTGGAAAAAGACAGCAAACATAACGCTTAGGCGCCAATCTATAGTGCCTTGGCGCTGAGTTTTATGGAATCAGTGTAGTGGTGCAGAATGGGCAGCACTTTGACGCACATGACAGCGTCGCAGCACCTAGGATTTTTACACAGTAGCGCCGCAGCGCTTGGAAGTCAGTGCTGCGGCGCTACGACTTGAGAAAAGACGCGTTTTGAAGGCCAATCGCGGAAAAACTTACCCGTTTGATCCTAATGCTCCGAAACATATAAATAGATGATTCTAGGGCAATTAGAAGGGACTTTCTGAGTGTGGAGTGACGGCTGGCTTTTGAGAGAAGATTCAAGAGAAGAAAAGGAGAATTGGGTACGGAGAAGAAGAACGGCTCAAATCCAGAGACAGAGATGCTTCAATTCAACTCCAAACTAGTTATTTTCTTTCCTTTCCAATGATTAAGATTTTGTTTAGGAATTTATTTTGTTTAGAGAGGAACTAATGTCTTTTTCTAGGGCTACGATGTAGCCGGATTATAAATGTTCTGATTCTCAATCTTATTTTTAAGTAATTGATGTTTAATCCATATATGCTGAGTATTTCAATTTATTCTTAATGCTTGTGATTGTTTGGCCAACTATTACATGATTTTGTATTTGATTTGAGAGTGAGAGGTGATAATTAAATAAGCTCTAAATTGAAATACCATGAGTTGGTCATAGGATAGAGATATCTATGATGCTTGTGCAGTTCTTTTGAATTTCTTGCACTTATGATTTTCAACAGGTTTAGAAGTCTAACAGAGATGTAGATTTTACTTGTTGGACTAATATTATCGTTGCTTGAGAAAGAATAATAATTGCTTTAGAGAAATTGCTGTGAGTATATGATTGAATGTTAATTTCCTTGAATTATGAGAATTTGAACAGGATTAATTTTGGTGAAATTGAAAACCCTAGAGTCTTAATCTATTGAATCTTATTCCATTGTTTGGCGTTGTTTGATTTATTTAATCATTTTAGTTTTACTTTACTTAATTTTATAAACTCACTTGTCAATTATTCAAATAAAATTAGGGTTAATATAATTTCGGTAATTAGTAAACAACAATCCTCGTGGGACAATATTCTTATCCACTATTATATTACTTGATTGCGATAGCGTATACTTGTGTTATGATTTTTCACAATAGAGTCCTTGGACCAAGTTGAAAAGGACGAAAACTCCCGAACTATAATTGAAATTGAATATTGAAAAAAGTAATATAATCTAATTTACAAATAGAAAAACTTACTAGACATACAATATTATCATATATACTAGAACATATAATATTACCATATATATATCACCTTACACATGAGAGTGGTGGGTCTAGAGGTTATGTGTCTATGGAGTAAGAGAGGGAGTCCTTAGACCAAGTTGAAAAGGAGAAAAACTCCCGAACTATAATTGAAATTGAATATTGAAAAAAGTAATATAATCTAATTTACAAATAGTAAAACTTACTAGACATACAATATTATCATATAAACTAGAACATACAATATTATCATATATACTAGAACATATAATATTACCATATATATATCACCTTACACATGAGAGTGGTGGGTCTAGAGGTTATGTGTCTATGGAGTAAGAGAGGGAGTTCTTGGACCAAGTTGAAAAGGAGGAAAACTCCCGAACTATAATTGAAATTGAATATTGAAAAAAGTAATATAATCTAATTTACAAATAGAAAAACGTACTAGACATACAATATTATCATATATACTAGAACATATAATATTATCATATATATATCACCTTACACATGAGAGTGGTGGGTCTAGAAGTTATGTGTCTATGGAGTAAGAGAGGGAGTCCTTGGACCAAGTTAGAAAGGAGGAAAACTCCCGAACTATAATTGAAATTGAATATTGAAAAAAGTAATATAATCTAATTTACAAATAGAAAAACTTACTAGACATACAATATTATCATATAAACTATAACATATAATATTATCATATATATATCACCTTACACATGAGAGTGGTGGGTCTAGAGGTTATGGAGTAAGAGAGGGAGTAACTCGTTCAAGCGGCATTCATCTTAGCAAGACTATTTTTATCTTCAGTCTTCAGACTCCCTCTGTCGCTCGACATAACTACACTATCTGGAATTATCCTATATCAGGAGCTACATATGCTCTGCCCTTTCGCTTTCCGACCCCTCTTTCTCCGTTGAAGCCATTCCCCAGATACCACCAACTTGGTTCTTGTTATCTCCTTCCTCCCCATGCGTGAAAGACAAGGTCTGAGTTCACTTTCTATTGAGCCTACTCCTTCTTACCTTCTTTGGACCAAGTTGAAAAGAATGAAAACTCCCGAATTATAATTGAAATTGAATATTAAAAAAAAGTAATATAATCTAATTTATAAATAGAAAAACTTACTAGACATATAATATTATCATATATACTAAAACATATAATATTATCATATATATATATCACCAGAGTGGTGGGTCTAGAGGTTATGTGTCTATGGAGTAATTCACGGAACGATAGATGGTGGATGGATTAAAAAAAGCTCCCAAGAAAAACATGTCCTAAGTACATAAAATACACGTGTTCATGAAAATCTTGCTTGTGTGCTCTCGAATCGGCATATTCGTTTTGCTTTTATTACAAACATTTACAGATGTTCTAAATAATTGCCTAAAATATACGCGTTCGTTAAAATCTGATTTCACGTGGCACTCCAACTAACTAAGACCTTTACATCTCTGACACTATTAATTATCACGTGAATCGTGTGAATTTCTTTCATTGTCCCTAAACAAGCACGAAATTTCAAATAAGGGTAGCAGTTACATCTCTATATATAGCCGAGTAAACACATAAGTTTTATCCACACCCAAATATACCATTTACGTAAACTAGTTTTCAAATATTTTCATGCTGATGGCTTCGTCTTCCTTTCTCTCCCTCTCCTTCCTTGTCCTCCTCTTCTCTATCTCCTCTGCCAACACCCGCAAGTGGTCCTTGTCAAATGGTCTCGATCAGAAACCGTTCAGCATAATCGAGGCCGCCATTGGAGTTTCTGAAGACCTTCTTAATCTCAATGGGATGGTGAGGCCCCATACACACACACACACACACACACACACACACACACACACACACATATATATATACATATATTTGTTGATGATTTTGAAAAGACATTTTTTTTTTTTGAAAAGACATTTTTTAACGATTCAACAATTATATATTTGTTGATGATTCTTTTATATGTGGTATTTTGATGTGTTAGAATACACGTATAAAACTATTTTGTAACGTCAGTATCGGTAGGCATATGATAGATTCTTTACTAACTGTTTAAAATTATCCAAAACAAAGGTGTTACTAGAGAATATATCATATCTCTTATAGTAAAATTCGGATTACTTAAATTTTTTATAATAATATTTTTAACATATCAAATTAAGAAAAATATGGTCGAGAATTGACAAAAAGAAAATATTGTTGTTAAAAAATCAGTGTACGTAGAATACCTATTAGTAGGTAAAACAAACTATGCTATGAAGGAAAAAAAAAACGAATTTCCTATTTACCGCCATTATCTAGATTTTCTAATGAAGAACGTTTTTGGTTTGATGTGTGTAGATTTACTTGTTAAATATAAATACACATATATGCATGTATCATCGAAAGTTTAAAATTAATTATTGCCATTTGGAAAACATTTTATAGGAAGCTAAAAACAATCAACATAGTGGGAAAAGTCAGACGATAGTTGTAGGAACATGGGGAGCTAAAGTGACTAGCTCTAATGGTGTGGCTTTTGATGACGGTGCATACACCGGAATAAGAGAAATCAATTTTGAATATAATAATGAAACTGCTATCGGGAGTATTCAAGTGACCTACGATGTAAATAGTACGCCATTTGAAGCAAAAAAACATGCAAGTTTTATAACCGGCTTCACACCAGTGAAGGTTAGTTTTTCATTCATTTCTTCATCTTTTAGCTATAAAATTTCTTTCTGGTATTACTCTATATATGTCTTTGTGAAAGTAATCTTTAATATGAGCTTATATTTACGAGATAAGGATATGTTAATATATATATTAGTAATGAGCTGTTATCTTTTAATTTGAGCTTATATTTACGAGATAAGGATCCATTAATATATATGTGTGTATATATATATATATAAATATATTTTAGTAATGATCTGTTATATTTTTCTAACTAAAGCCTCGATTGCAAAATATATAGTACCCTAACACATTAAAAATAATTTATCGAATATTATAACATATATATGTATATTGTAACTTAAAATCATTTACTTATAAATACTAGATCTCCATGTACATATAGATACTACTAATTTAATTTATTTATTTATATTTTGATCCAGATTTGCTTAGACTTTCCAAATGAGTATATAGTTGAAGTGAGCGGGTACACTGGTAAAGTGAGCGGGTATATAGTAGTACGCTCTTTAACATTCAAGACCAACAAAGAAACTTATGGACCATATGGAGTTACAAGCGGCACATATTTTAAGCTCCCAATCCAAAATGGCTTAATTGTTGGATTTAAAGGAAGTGTCGGCTATTGGTTGGACTACATTGGGTTTCACTTATCACTTTAAGATTACTTATAAAATAATGATGCTACTAAGATGGATCGTTGTTGTCCTATAAATAAGTTCAAATCGCCAAGTATGTAATGGTAGTATTATATGTTGGTTTCGCTAGCAATCTTATTACCATATATGTACAAGGAATGATTTGATGTTTCAAATAAAGGTCCATATATTGAGTAATTGGTGATGTGTTATATTACCTCTTGAATTTTGAGTTTGGCTTTCAAGAAAAGCACGAATTTGATGTCATTTTTATAGCAAATAATTAAAATGGCTAGTTGTTCAAACAATAAATGTAATGACTAGAAATTTAAAAGATCCCAATGACGTGGTTTATGGAATTAATATTTAAAACATCAAATGGCACTTGTCCTATTATGAAAAATGTGTTTCTTCAACAACAAAAAAATAAAGAACATCTATTATAAAAATATATATAAAGATTCAAAAAATAAATAAAAAAACATAATGAAAAACTCAAAAAAATTATGGGAGAGACATGTGGAAAAAAAATACAGGTTAGTTTAGTTTCTAGATAACTTCTGGAATTTACTTTTGAATTGAACAATCATGACACTTCCAAAAAAGGAAAAGTAAGAATGCAAGAAAAAGAAATTTGTTGGAAAATACATCATGTAATAAAACATCAGAATATGTGAATTGTGATGGGAATTATTATTCATAAGCTGCAAAGAAGTATGTTTCATCACAGATATGAATTATCAGGAAGTTACACTGATCCAACTCTCTATGAATTTACAGCTTCTTATGGGTCTGAGTTTTATGACCCAAAGACAATGTAATAGGTTTCAAAATACTATCTTCAATCATGAATTTGGTTAGATTAGAACAAGCAAAGTAGGTCCAAATGCTTCTTTTTCTTTCTTTTTCTGGTAAAATAAACGTAACCATTGAAAATAAGTTTATATAAATAATTATATATATATATATATATATACATAAATGAAGATGCATATGTGGACATAATGTATAAAGTATACACGACTTTGCATGTATACATATACATATATATATATATATATAACTGTTTGTTTTGAAAAAAAAAAATCAGGGGAGTAAAATATTTCTAGCTGCATTTCTTTTGGAATATGTTATAACAGTTGACGAAAAAAATAGATATGACGATAAGTCGCACTACAACAATATATGTCATTCGCGACGACTTTATTTGCGACAATATTTGTCGTCGCAAATATTTTATTATTTGTGATGACATGTCATTGCAATTAATCCCCATTAAATAAATTAAGCATGTCATTGCTAATAAGTTCAATGTCATCGCAAATAGTTTAGGTGCACAATGTCCAATGGCGCGGATTTTTGCCGCCAATGGGAATCCATTTTTTGCGATGACTTGTCGTCGTAAATATCTTTTTATTTACGACGATACATGTCGTCGCAAATAATACCACTCTATTTGCGATGATGTGTTCTCTTTGTCATCGCAAATAAGCTTGACTGGTGGAATGATTAATTGCGACGACATATTGTCGTCGCAAATAATTTCAGATGTTGGGTATTTGCGACGGCATTTTAATTTATTTGCGACAACAATGTCGTCGCAAATAATTTCAGATGTGGGGTATTTACGACGGCATTTTAAATTTATTTGCGACGATAATGTCGTCACAAATATGTCTGATCTATTATACCCTAACTTCTTCCTCTTCATTTTCCTCCGATTTCACTCTCTCTCTCTCTCTAAACAATCTCCGCCTCTTCTTCTCCTCACCGCCGCCGCCGCCACCCGCCGCCCCTGCTGCCCTCCGTTCTCTCTCTCTATTCCATTCTCTCTCTCCTCTTCTCTCTATTCTCAGCTTTCTTTCTCTCTTCCCTTTTATCTCTCTCTCTCTTCCGCTCCCCCTCCCTCTTGTTCCCATCTCCGGCCGCCTGTCCCGCCACCCCACTCCCCCCGGCAGGCCCACGCCCC